TTCCTAGCGTGATAATTGGGGGTGCATGTTCATATATTCGTCTTCTGCCCGACGGATTTCTTTTGAAAGTGATTGTTTTTATGGTAGCGAGCATGCATGAATATATGAATATACCCCCCCTCCCCCCCTCCCCATTATCGCGTCTAGGAACGGCCCTGTTGAGGGATATGATCGGAAATAGCATGAATATAGAAATTAGATTCCCTTATCTGAAAGAACTTTTAAAATGACGTGGAAAACATTTAAAAGCTTTTTTAAATCTCGCTTATTTCTCGACCTTAAGAAAAGCTTCTGTTGTGATGCAGCTAAACTGTGGAACTCATTACCTAAATGCAATTGACGCTTATAACGAGGGTCGTACGTCGAGGTCGAGGGTCGAAAATAGTAATTTTTTATCCATTTCAAAAGTTTTACAACCATTTTGAAAGCTCCCAAAAGCGGCAAAACAATTAGTTTGCTCTCAAAACTGAAAAATTTCGCCTACGGCTATAATCTATATGTATACTGAAAGTTTCGCTGAAGAAATATTATTTTAAACGCCGAAAATTATCAAAACCTCACACATACCCGAGATTCGCGAAATTAGCAAAAAAAAATTGTGAGCTACGGCCTCTCGAAAATTTCGTTTTTCTCAATTGGCGTGTGATGAAACCTCACCTTTCGTTTTAAAACGTATTCTCCTACAGAGGTGCGGAAGTCTGGAACTGCCTTCCTGCATCGGTAAAAGCATCAACAACTATTGCTAATTTTAAATCTAACTTGAAGCATGCAAATTAACATCAAGTGATCCTGCCATTGTTTCCATCTACTTAAAATAATTTTCTTGTAATTATTTCTTATTTCTGTTTGTGTGAGCACGGCCTGTTGGATGATCACCTTTTTAGTCGCTGGGCAGAGCTCGCAGCGACTCTAGGTTTCGGCACGCATTTGTGTCGGATCTTGGATCGTCTATTTCAAGCATCGAAATTTTGGTGGGGTTGAACACTTTATAAGATGGGTTAGAGAGATTCTAAGGGGGGGGGGTTAACCCCTCCTAACTCCCCCCCCCCAGTAAATCCACCCATGATTTAATCCAAAAATTTTCATAATGAAACCTGGTGAGTAGAGACTCATTGGTGGTAGGAAAAAGCATGAGTGTATGTTGACAGATGTGTTTATATAATAAATAGCAACTACCTATGTTTAGCAAGTTATTAGTGCATTTATTTCAATTGGCTAACTGTTTCGTTTTTTCCAGCATTTTTAAACAAACCATATGTTATAAATGATATAACTGGGTATATCTAATTAAAACAATCTGTCATGTACACTCATGCAAATAAGACTAAATATATAAATAACAACCTCGTACCCAGGGGAGAAAAGACCCTGGTAGATGCTGGTCACATGTTCTGCTAAAATCTGGCAGATTTTTAATTAGCAATCCAAGATGAGGTCAATAAATGTTTGATATTTGGATGATTTTTATGTGTTAATTTATAATTTGCATTTTGTATGTGATTGTCATAAAGGAATTCAAGATGGTTAATTAGAAATATGCTAGATTTTAGCAGATCACGTGACCAACATCTACCGGGGTCTTTTCTCCCCAAGAGGAAGGACTCTGGGTACGAGGTCGCATAAATAACTGTAAAAATGTACTTTAGTAAATGAATAATTTATCCATACACTTGATCTACTTTTTTCCAATTAAAATTGATGCAATAATAAAACAAGATGTCTATTTATATATTTATTAAATTGATCCGAGATCCCAACAATAACATGCTACTTAGGGAGTGGTCATTATTTATGGGGGGGGGGGTGGTAAATGGGAGGGGGGCAAACAAAGTTTTACCCTTTTTACCCAAACAAAGTTTTAACACAGAGAAAGGGGGGGGGGGAGTTTTTGAACTTAAATACCCATGTCTAGAGTTCTGGTTTCTATAATCACAAATAGCAAAAAAGAAGACTCTGAAAATGCCATTTCCAATTATCTACAGACTCAAAATTTTCAAGATTTCCCTGCTCTGTGCCAACCATGGTAGTGCCTTGTGGGAGTGGTGCCCACTAAGTTTAACAAGCTTCCTACCCCCTGAGTGACCCAGCTGTGGTATTTACATAAACATACCATGCAAGTACACTTAAGAGACAATGTCCACTAAAACCGAGCAAAATTCGAGAATACGTGGCACATGAGGAAAAATAAAAAATCTTCTTATTTTTTCCAGTGATACTCTAATGTGTACTCAGAAACGTGGTGGGGTTTGTTTTCTGAAATATTATTTTAATCGCCGAAAATTATCAAAACCTCACACATACCCGAGATTCGCGAAATTAGCAAAAAAAATTGTGAGCTACGGCCTCTCGAAAATTTCGTTTTTCTCAATTGGCGTGTGATGAAACCTCACCTTTCGTTTTTAAACGTGTTTATAAGATGTATATAAAGAACGTGGGTCCAATTTGCAATTTTTGAAATGATTTTTCAATGTCAAGACAAGCGTGTAAAAATCGTGTTTTTTTGCGATCCAAAAAATTCCAAATTGTTACACTTTTTAAAAATTAATTTTCCGTATCCGGGAAAATTCCAATTTCCTTGAAATTTACGGAATTTAAAGAAAAGCTATTGCTCTAAAACCTGATGTAAAAATTATTTTGGGGCTTTTTGTTACCGCGGAATTATACTGACTATAACATCGAGAAAATCACAAAAAACCCTTAAAAATCCTCAGACAATTAGGCACTTTGCTTCACTTATAGACAGTCGAACCTTAATCATTCTTGCTTGTTTTCTCTTGTTATTGATAGAAAATATAAGACGTAGACATTTTAAACTAGTTTGCCTATTTCTAGATAAAAATACGCTGTTAAACTCTCCAGGACTAAGATTTCTGCTTTAAATTCTTGTTTCAATTGATCGATCCTTGCGCGCCAATTAAAATAAACTAGAAACACTTGTACACTCGCTAGATTCAAGGCTATATATACTTACTATAAACAGTCAATTACTTATATTTGAGCATGTTGTGCTCTAAGCAGTTCAGTTTAAGTGTCAAACTTCGGCCTTATTTTCATTGAAGCCGGGCAAGTTCAGTCGTTTAATTAAAGGGACAGGGCCGTTCCTAGCGTGATAATTGGGGGTGCATGTTCATATATTCGTCTTCTGCCCGACGGATTTCTTTTGAAAGCGATTGTTTTTTATGGTAACGAGCATACATGAATATATGAATATACCCCCTCCCCCATTATCGCGTCTAGGAACGGCCCTGTTGAGGGATATGATCGGAAATAGCATGAATATAGAAATTAGATTCCCTTATCTGAAAGAACTTTTAAAATGACGTGGAAAACATTTAAAAGCTTTTTTTAAATCTCGCTTATTTCTCGACCTTAGGAAAAGCTTCTGTTGTGATGGAGCTAAACTGTGGAACTGATTACCTAAATGCAATTGACGCTTATAACGAGGGTCGAGGGTCGTACGTCGAGGTCGAGGGTCGAAAATAGTAATTTTTTATCCATTTCAAAAGTTTTACAACCATTTTGAAAGCTCCCAAAAGCGGCAAAACAATTAGTTTTGCTCTCAAAACTGAAAAATTTCGCCTACGGCTATAATCTATATGTATACTGAAAGTTTCGCTGAAGAAATATTATTTTAAACGCCGAAAATTATCAAAACCTCACACATACCCGAGATTCGCGAAATTAGCAAAAAAAAATTGTGAGCTACGGCCTCTCGAAAATTTCGTTTTTCTCAATTGGCGTGTGATGAAACCTCACCTTTCGTTTTAAAACGTATTCTCCTACAGAGGTGCGGAAGTCTGGAACTGCCTTCCTGCATCGGTAAAAGCATCAACAACTATTGCTAATTTTAAATCTAACTTGAAGCATGCAAATTAACATCAAGTGATCCTGCCATTGTTTCCATCTACTTAAAATAATTTTCTTGTAATTATTTCTTATTTCTGTTTGTGTGAGCACGGCCTGTTGGATGATCACCTTTTTAGTCGCTGGGCAGAGCTCGCAGCGACTCTAGGTTTCGGCACGCATTTGTGTCGGATCTTGGATCGTCTATTTCAAGCATCGAAATTTTGGTGGGGTTGAACACTTTATAAGATGGGTTAGAGAGATTCTAAGGGGGGGGGGTTAACCCCTCCTAACTCCCCCCCCCCAGTAAATCCACCCATGATTTAATCCAAAAATTTTCATAATGAAACCTGGTGAGTGGAGACTCATTGGTGGTAGGAAAAAGCATGAGTGTATGTTGACAGATGTTTTTATATAATAAATAGCAATTAGCTATGTTTAGCAAGTTATTAGTGCATTTATTTCAATTGGCTAACTTTTTTGTTTTTTCCAGCATTTTTAAACAAACCATATGTTATAAATGATATAACTGGGTATATCTAATTAAAACAATCTGTCATGTACACTCATGCAAATAAGACTAAATATATAAATAACAACCTCGTACCCAGGGGAGAAAAGACCCTGGTAGATGCTGGTCACATGTTCTGCTAAAATCTGGCAGATTTTTAATTAGCAATCCAAGATGAGGTCAATAAATGTTTGATATTTGGATGATTTTTATGTGTTAATTTATAATTTGCATTTTGTATGTGATTGTCATAAAGGAATTCAAGATGGTTAATTAGAAATATGCTAGATTTTAGCAGATCACGTGACCAACATCTACCGGGGTCTTTTCTCCCCAAGAGGAAGGACTCTGGGTACGAGGTCGCATAAATAACTGTAAAAATGTACTTTAGTAAATGAATAATTTATCCATACACTTGATCTACTTTTTTCCAATTAAAATTGATGCAATAATAAAACAAGATGTCTATTTATATATTTATTAAATTGATCCGAGATCCCAACAATAACATGCTACTTAGGGAGTGGTCATTATTTATGGGGGGGGGGGTGGTAAATGGGAGGGGGGCAAACAAAGTTTTACCCTTTTTACCCAAACAAAGTTTTAACACAGAGAAAGGGGGGGGGGAGTTTTTGAACTTAAATACCCATGTCTAGAGTTCTGGTTTCTATAATCACAAATAGCAAAAAAGAAGACTCTGAAAATGCCATTTCCAATTATCTACAGACTCAAAATTTTCAAGATTTCCCTGCTCTGTGCCAACCATGGTAGTGCCTTGTGGGAGTGGTGCCCACTAAGTTTAACAAGCTTCTTACCCCCTGAGTGACCCAGCTGTGGTATTTACATAAACATACCATGCAAGTACACTTAAGAGACAATGTCCACTAAAACCGAGCAAAATCGAGAATACGTGGCACATGAGGAAAAATAAAAAATCTTATTTTTTCCAGTGATACTCTAATGTGTACTCAGAAACGTGGTGGGGTTTGTTTTCTGAAATATTATTTTAATCGCCGAAAATTATCAAAACCTCACACATACCTGAGATTCGCGAAATTAGCAAAAAAAATTGTGAGCTACGGCCTCTCGAAAATTTCGTTTTTCTCAATTGGCGTGTGATGAAACCTCACCTTTCGTTTTTAAACGTGTTTATAAGATGTATATAAAGAACGTGGGTCCAATTTGCAATTTTTGAAATGATTTTTCAATGTCAAGACAAGCGTGTAAAAATCGTGTTTTTTTGCGATCCAAAAAATTCCAAATTGTTACACTTTTTAAAAATTAATTTTCCGTATCCGGGAAAATTCCAATTTCCTTGAAATTTACGGAATTTAAAGACAAGCTATTGCTCTAAAACCTGATGTAAAAATTATTTTGGGGCTTTTTGTTACCGCGGAATTATACTGACTATAATATCGAGAAAATCACAAAAAACCCTTAAAAATCCTCAGACAATTAGGCACTTTTCTTCACTATAGACAGTCGAACCTTAATCATTCTTGCTTGTTTTCTCTTGTTATTGATAGGAAATATAAGACGTAGATCATTTTAAACTAGTTTGCCTATTTCTAGATAAAAATACGCTGTTAAACTCTCCAGGACTAAGATTTCTGCTTCAAATTCTTGTTTCAATTGATCGATCCATGCGCGCCAATTAAAATAAACTATAGAAACATTTGTACACTCGCTAGATTCAAGGCTATCTATACTTACTATAAACAGTCAATTACTTATATTTGAGCATGTTGTGCTCTAAAGGCCGGCGCACACTAGAGCTATGTGCTTAGCAAAATGTCATTCGTGACTGTTGGCCTAAGGAGATAGCTCTCGTGTGCGGGCGATTTACGAACGATTTGCCCTCTAAAATTGCCTCGGCCAGCAATTCATTTTGCGCCGCCATCTTGGATGTTTACTTTCGTATACTACGCATGCGCTGTTACGACAATCCGTAAGCAGATAGCTTTCGTTCGCCGCAGCAATTTTCCCTTTCGTAAACGGTCTTTGCCATCCCATACGGTGCCGTACACTTTCTTTTAACTGCTATTTAAATAGAATACTATTGTTGTCAAATTGCATTGCTCCTAAAGCCTTTAGTAATTTATTCTGTCTAATGCCAGACTATTTTACTTGTCAAGTGCAGAGTGACGCCAGTCAATGGGTGAAGGTACAAGAGTCACCTCTTGACGAATAAAATAACCTGGCATTAGACAGAGTAAAATAACAAAGTAGGGCATACCAAGGTGCATTGTAGTTTTATGCGTTAAGTAACCAGGAGGCCTTATTGACGAGTAAAGTCGTCTGGCATAAGCCTAAAAGTTTGTGTGAGGTCACAACCATAGCAAGCTACAGTACCTTAAAGTGGAAGTCAAGTCCGTTCTGCACATCGGTTCTGCTCATAACAATGTGAGGACCTCTGATGTAAACATTGCCCAAATTTCGAATGTTTCAAATTTTTCTGAACATAAACTCTATTTCATATTGATTTTAGAAGCATAGCGGACCAAAACGGTGTTAGATATTCAGACAGTACATCATATTTTAAAAAAATACAGCAGTTCAAAATGTAAACAAACCGTTTGTTTACATACAGACTTGACTTCCACTTTAAATCAATCAATACATTATGTCACCTGAACTTAACCATACCTGACATTTTCTTTTGAAAGACTTTCAACTTCAAACACATCATTCGGAAATTTCTTTACGGTTTCTGTGAATCTCAATTGCTCATCTTCAGTGGGAAGAACAAAACCTTGGCCACCATCTTTCTTTGTCTTGCCCTTACCACTAAATCGCCTTCTGTAATGACCATCAAAACTACCATCTGCTATCGACAACAGTTTCTCCTTGTAGTGGTCCTCCAAATCCACCAGGAGTCGCTCAAGAAGGGCCACAATGTTGTACTCTTTTGTCCTTTTAAGAATAATATCTTTCAGAACAAGAAATTGTGCTTCAACAAAATTGTTGGTGTGATTTCCTCGTATGCGAAGACTGGAACGATAACAATGTGCAAATGCTTCTCTGTCAGAATATAGTTCCTCAAAGTATAGAGAAGCATTCTCATATGGCTCTATCTCGTCAAGGAGTTCATTGTAATATTCCTCAAATAATTCTTCGGTATCTGCTAATACAGCCCTTTTAAAAAGACTCATAATAGGTGGTCTGTCCATTTGACTGATAGCATGATTCTTATCCAAAAGCCACCGCCATACTTGCTGCAGAATGTGAAAGGTGCACAAAAGCATGTTTGTGGATGACCAAACTGACTTTAAAGCACTTCTTTCTTCCTGGCAGTTGTCAGTGAGAATGACAGCAGGACCATGCTCAGGACCATTAGCATAAAATGCATCTTCTGGTAAGCATTGCTTTAACATGGAAAAACCTTGAAAGAAAACATTTTAAGTGAGCATACAATAATTATGTACAACAATATAGTTTCCATCAGTACTTGATCAAGTAAAATACATATATCATGTAGATATACAGTATCTATCAAATGTGATATATATCACTATATATGATAAATATCAAATTATTAATACAATAAAAAAATTTAAATATATTGAGATTTGCAATGTTGTGTACTACATATAACCTCGACAAAGTGTCATATACTGAAGACATTCCGAGATCGAACCGAAGAATGAATGTGACTTTCACTTGAAATATCGACTTTGTATGTGACACTTTGTTGAAGTTACATAAGTATCTGTACACAACTTTGCAAAAATTATTATATAAATTGTATTAATATTTGAATAAATAGGTGAAATAAACATTATAATTTTGCATTTTTTGACAAATATCACTGCCACCCCCACCCCCCTATTTATACAGAGTGGGGTTTACTTTTTCTCTGTAGGATAATCACCAAGATTAGTTGATAACTGTTATTAACACTAGTGATATAAACTTTGTGTTTTACAAGCATATATTATAAACAAATTTAACAATTATCAGGGATGGGGGGGGGGGTTGCCTACATTAAATGGAATGGCCCAATGGCATCTGTTGTCACACTATAATTGTTGAACAAAACATGAAAAAATTATTCAAAAAAAATTATTTCCAACCTACCGACCCTAATTTTTTTGCGATATGAAACCGGAACCACAGGTATTTTTTTACACATAAAGCTAATTCTGGCATTTAAGGCAGGGTGAAGTGGGGGAAACAAATTAGGTTTTGGGTCTGTATATATACATACCATGTTTCAATGTGCTTTCTTTCTCATCACTGGTTATCAGTAAGCCACAAGGAAGTGCACCTGCAACATTAGCAGTGCAAAGAAGGAACACCTTAAGATTATGCTCCTCAGTGTTTGATGTTGAATCCACAAAGATGAGTTCTCCACTTTGTGGAACACACTTATGTATGCGTTTCATCAATGGCGTCACTATGGCTATTATCAATGGAGTATTATCACCACCATACTGTTGATATTCCACCGAGGCATCAGGGTTAGCTTCGTGGAACTCATCCAACTTGGCAGATAGTTTATCCAGCATTTCACCATTCTTTCCACCAAATCTCTCCTTGCCATACTGCTGATACATGTAGCAAAAGTCCCGTCTCCTTGGTACCATGGAGCGATCTGCTTTCTTCACATGATAGTCCAGGTCGTTCGAGCAGCTAGACCGGAATTTCTTCAGGAATATCTGGCGTGCAGTAGATGGGGTTTCACCTGCTTCATACAGCTCCTTAATTTCTTCGATGCTTGCTGTAGACAATTCCTTAAAATTTGATGACTCCAAAGTACATAGTGAATGGTTGTGCTCCCATTCAATATCAATAACACAGTTGTTTTGTGCATCTATCTTTACAGCCATTTGAAATGGGCAGTTAGTATTTTTCACTCTGGCAGCTGGATTCAATTTCAGCTTCCTCTGGGGGTCCTTACTTGGACTCCAGCGTCTGGTGTCATGTTGGCATCTATAGTAATGCTGGGTCGAATAACCCTTCGTTTCTCTCTTCTTTGCTCTAACTTTGAGAGTTACATTGTTGAGGGCTTGAAATTCGGCAAGCCATCCTTTTAAATCATCCGACGAAAGATTATCTGTAGTTACCTTCAACTTAAACTGTGATTCAGTACCTAAACATTCATTGACTTCGTAAAGGTAATCCTCGGGAAGCTTTTCCAAAACAGCACTCTCAAATTTCTGCTTTTCTTCTTGTGTCTGTTTCTCACAATGGAAACGGTGATCGACTTTCTTTAACGCGTTCTCTAGTAAATCATCAAAGCCCTCTAAGTTTATGCTTGCCGCCATTTGTATTTTTCACTCAAAAATAAAATTTATATAAAAATTTTCACGAACACACGTAATGATGCAAACGCGCGCGTAGCGCGTGGCGAGAACTCGCAAGCTCCCGAGATGCAACTCGAGCAGGGATGGCAAAAACCGTATGGGATGGCAAAGACCGTTTACGAAAGGGAAAATTGCGTCGCCGTCTCGCCAGCTAAAGGTCCCTAATAACGGGTAGAGCTTGACAAACACAACAATATAATAGTTTTGTTTGTGGAAACACCACGTAAATTTATTACTGCAAAGCTAAAAGCTTTCGATCCGTAAGCCCGGATCTTCATCAGTGCTAATAATATGTGACTTGCTTAATTCACACGCCCTTTTTATATACAAAAGTGTCGTGATCTGTTGGCTCGCGTCATTTGAAACAGAACATCATGTAGTAAATTCTAAAGAATTTGTAACAAAAAATGGAACAAATTAGATTGTGTAAGAATGACATTCCGGTAAGTTTTGACGTAGTTAGCTTGTTCACTAATGTTTCAGTTGAAAAGGCTTGTAATATCGCAAAAGAAAGACTTCTTTCAGATATTACATTATCTCAAATAACTAATCTTTCTCCGGAGAATGTTCATGATTTGTTGAAACTATGTTTGACCACGACATGTTTTCAATGGCGGGAGAAATTCTATGAACAAACAAACGGCGCTCCAATGGGAAGTCCATTGTCGCCTGTTATGGCTAATTTCATGGAAGAATTCGAAAAGAAGGTCTTAGCTACTGCGATGTTGAAACCTGGTTTCTGGTTCAGATACGTGGATGACACATTGAGTAGCTGGTTTCATGGACTAGATAATTTACAAACGTTTCTAGACCACATTAATAGTTTGCATCCATCAATCAAGCTTACTTTTGAAGTACAGGAGGATGATAAAACTTTACCATTCTTAGATGTTCTGTTTACTATACATGATGATGGGTCGCTAGGACATAAGGTTTATAGGAAACCAACACACACACACAGATATCTGCATTATAATTCATTTCATCATCCTAGTATTAAAAACTCTGTGTGTAAGACACTCATCAACCGAGCGAAAACAAATTCTGAGTTAAGTAACATTGACGATGAATTAGAACATTTAAGAAATGTTCTAAAAATGAATGGTTAATTACCCACGGCATTTCATAGATAATGCTATGAAAGCACCACAATTCACAAAGTATATACAGCAGAAGACTGAATATCAGTCGTGTGTTTGTCTGCCATACATGGGTCCGGCTTCACACAAAATCGAAAGAATTTTGAGGAATGAAGCAGGTATAAAGGTATACCATTCCAGCGAAAACAAATTATTTCCAGCTCTTTGTACACATAAACACAGCGTAAATGAATCTCAGTAACCTGGTGTGTACCGCATTCCTTGTGAATGTGGTCTGGTTTACATTGGTGAAACTGGTCGAAATCTCTCTGTACGTCTTAAGGAACACAAGACGAATTGCGAGAAAGCCGAGCAAGATAAATCTGCTCTGGCTAAACATACTTGGACTTAGGACCATCGTATAAAATGGGACGAAGCAACCATTTTGGCGATCGATAGTCATAACTGAGTTCTCTCGCAAAATGAAAGAGTCAAGTGAAATCGAGAAGCACAATACAATAATAGATCAGGAGGGAAAGCCACTAGATAGCACGTGGCGTGCTCTCTTTAATGTGCAAAATTAATTTCTCTTGTCTTGGATGCGCGCGCGTTAATTAGAATCACTTCACTACGTTTGAAATGACGTGGTTGATGTGCCGTTTAATTAAATTTTCAAATGACGCGAGCCAACAGATCACGACACTTTTGTATATAAAAAGGGCGTGTGAATTAAACAAGTCACATATTATTAGCACTGATAAAGATCCGGGCTTACGGATCGAAAGCTTTGCAGTAATAAATTTACGTGGTGTTTCCACAAACAAAACTATTATATATTTTATCGCCATGCAAACATACAAAGAACTTAAACACAACAATAATACTAAAAAACTAAGTGTCACCTTAGAACAAACAGTCAGGGGCATCAAAGACAATTTAATATGAACTAAAGCATGCTCAATGCATGGGCCTACGCAAACAAAAAATCATACAAAATGCCGAACCAAAAACAGCTGATGTGAATATAGCATGAGACAAAATCTCAAAACACAGACCGGTATGCGCGTCACTCAATTGAAAACAATACTTAACCGCAGAGTTAAAGCAAGCGGTAATTGCTCCACCAAGAGAAATAGAACAAAACAATGATAGTCAGATCCCGGTAGGGACTTTCTTTTTCGTCCCAGAGGATAGTGTTGGCTGACTTGGTACTGGTGTAGGACATGGGACTGACCCATAGTTTGTTGTGTCTGGCTTTTTAGTTCCAGAGGATAGTGTTGGCCGACTTGGTACTGGTGTTGGACATGGGACTGACCCAGAGTTTTTTGTGTCTGGCTGCAAATTTTCTGGCATAGAGCAAGTGTTTTCCTTCAAATGAGCAGATTGATTCACTTTCCTTTTCTTGAATGGTGTATTCACACATCCTACCTCTTCGATACTCCTTCTTTTCAGTACTCTCCTGACTTGTTTTGTTTCTGTGTCGTCATGTTCGTATCCTTCAAGTACAGGGTTGAAATTGGACTCAACTGTGTGGGCCTTCCATATTTAAAATGATTGGAGCAGAAGTTTGTTTACCTTAAGGGGGGAGTACACCTAAAAAATAGGGTGATATAAAATGTTTTATATTTGGACAAGGTTACATCCAAATACCCACAAACTATATATTAGTAGAAAGCTTAGAACCTGGAGATTCAGAAAAATATTTCAAACAGTGAAAAGCTGTATTAAGGTGGCTCTACACCGTTCATCAAATTTCCGGTTTAGCTTTATTCAAGAAAAGATTGCACTTGCTGTGTATTATGAAATTTGATTATTTAATTTATACATTTTTTAAATACTTACATAGGAATTATTGTTTTAAGCATAGCGAATTTTGATTGCCAAAAAAGAAAAAAAGTTATGGGTTTGGGAAGTTAGGCGTCAAATTTTTGAAACGTAAAATGCACTTGGCGTGCAATTTAGAGTCGGTGCATTTCCAGAACCGGAGTTGTAAGCTCCCATCATTATCTAATACCTAGCGTATTAGCGGTTTTCCTATTGGCTACGAGGAGGTGCGTTCAATCTCGAACCCACCTGCTGACGTATGTTTAGAAGGTGGGTTCGAGGTCGATGTTTCGGCGGCGGCCATTATGAAGCGACTTGAACAAATTTCACGCGAAAATTTAAATATAAAATAAATTAACAGTTTTTAATTGTTTTATAATTATTATTTTTTTATTTTGTGTGATGAAAATGGAATATTCTATATTCAAAGTGGAAGAGAAGAAAGATGGCCGCCGAAATTTGTTCGGCACGGGCAAGTTTATATAAATCTTGGCATTCTTCACGCAGAATGTATTCATTTTCTCTTTTCAAGAATAAGGGAATATTGTAGCGAATTTTTTTACTTTAATCGCTTCGCTCGGTGAGTTCCGGAAACTTCCAGCCACCCTCGGTCCGTCCAATCCCGGACTCACCTTCTGCAAGTATGTTTGTTATAAAGCCCCCAATATGCGGTTTTATCACATAGTTTTCCTTATATGCTCGAGCGTTGTTGCATTTTCCAATTGCACAGCGATCATATTTCCCCATTCACGTAACAAGTTTCATAGTTTTATCCCAAAGCTGTGTTAAAAGCGGCTTTCTGATTGGTTTAGAGCAGGCGAGCTTGTCGTCGAGTTCACCTGCTTTTTGCCCGAACTCACCTGCTACTCGCCGAATTCACCCGCGAAACTGCTCACGTTGTAATAACAATAACACATATGGCGGACAAGATTTAGCCGATCAACTAAACTTTAAATAACTTTTTCGGTGACTAGTTACGTACTGAGACTGAAGAAAAACAAAAAAAATTACAATAAAGGTAATCTATACGTAGATAAAGAAGTATTAAGAGCCCAGTGATTTTTTTTTGGCCGAGAAAATGTTGACAAAACATCGACGAATATATCGCAAAGAGCAACAATGTGTAGGTATCGCCGTATGACTCAGTGTAAGGGATAAAAACCAAACATACTTGCACGTTCGGTGAGTCCGGGATTGGACACACCTCGGGTGGCTGGAAGTTTCCGAAACTCACCTCGCTTCGCCCGGTGAGTTTGGGATACTTCCGGCCACCCGAGGTGCGCCTAATCCCGGACTCACCGAACCTGCAAGTATGTTTGTTATATAGTCGACAAAAACCATAAATACAGACGATAAATCGTGCTTAAATGTTTGTCTTCGAGTTGTGTTTACAGAATTTCTATGTTTACATTTTTTACCCCGGATAGACCAGCATGCATTGCGCCGAATTGGAATTTCAAGATGGCGTCGCTATTGCTGAATAGGTGAACTTCCGGCATTTCGCGTAACTGCTGTTGGTTATAGGTCTAGAATTCAACCGTTAACCGGTCAATGTCACGTCAATATCCTTGTCATCGAATTTAGCTGTCTTAGCTTTCTCAATTAAGAGGGCTAAAATGCCCTTAAAAACCATCATTGAAAAGGTTTAACTGTGCCTTTAAAGGTACGACGTCGATGTATGTATGCATGGGGTTTTTGATGTGGAAATTGATTCTTCCTGATATGTTTTGTGCTCTTTTGTTTAGTTTCTAAATCCGACGAATGCATTCAAATTCACATCATCCAAATTCACTGCTACTTCAGAATTCTTTAAACAGAGTCCAGATCCAAAAATGAACAGAATTTACAATGAGATCAAAGATCGTCTTGTGTCCACCAGGGCTGAGGCGCGTAAACTGCTGAAATCTGGGTAAGAGATTGTATTATATACTTAATAATATACACGAAAAAATTCTAGTTTTTATTAGTCGTTTGACCATGAATTTACTTTTTATCGTGAATTTACTTTTTAAGTGACCATGAATTTACTTTTTATAATTTTGCATTTATTCCCGGGCC